CCTAGTGGTGTCGTTCGAAGGATGCCGAGACGCAGGGCCCGTTTAGGGGCTGGTTGACCCAAATCCAAGCCTCGGGGAGAGTTAAAATGGAGCAGAGGCCCAGGGTCAAGGGTCAGAGCTGTGGCTGGGAGCAGAATTAGCAGCAATCCTGGCCTCAGGGCGTTTCTTCTTTGTCCTCCTTCCAGCTCAGATTTCAGTTGGAATCAGCAGAGGGCTCCAGACAGTCAGAATTTAGGGGCGAGCTCTTTGGGACGATGGAGGGTTGCGTGCCAAGAATGGGTGGAGGTAACATGGGTAGGGGAAGGGCCTTTCGCCTCCCTCTCCTCTCTGCCACTAGCACCATCGCGGCCTCCCTGCTGCCTGTTGGCGCCACGGGCTCAGTCTTTGCCACACCCATCAAAATCCGTTGGAGTACACTGCGCGGCGCTGAAGTGCGCTGAAGAGCACTGGCATGCTAAATCGCCACCAGGAGGCGCTGCTGCTTTGGTTCTTCTGCTGGAAGGCCTGGAAACGATGCTGGAGGCGTCTATCGCGAAGGTCCCACCCACTCTTCAAATAAGGTCTTCAGTTAAAAATTAAAACTGTCCGAGAAGTTTTCCGGCACCGTTGTAAGTGGTTCCCTGCTCCCACGACACCCCTTCTACCGCACGGAGACTCACGTAAAAGAGTAGAAAGATCTTATTCTGGGACACGGATCGCCCCTTCATAAGAAACCCACCTCTTGGAATCCTCACCCCTGGAGTCCAACGCCAGTCCCAGTTGGCAGCGGAGACGAATTTAGGGGACGCAGTTCCTCGTGGCCTGGTGAGAGAAGCAAGGGGCCTGGAAGGGTCCACCTCAGGTCACCCTGACAGTAGATTACCACCCCTAGAGCCAGTTTGGTGTAGTGGTTAAGAGCACGGACTCTGATCTGGGAGAACCGGGTTTGATTCCCCACTTCTCCACATGCAACTGCTGGTGTGACCTTGGGTGAGTCACAAGTTCCCTCAGAGCTGTTTCTCTCAAGGGTAGTCTTCGAAAGAGCTCTCTCAGCCCCACCTACTTCACAGGGTGTCTGTTGTGGGGAGGGGAAGGGAAAGGAGATTGTCAGCCGCTCTGAGACTCTGAGTGAAGGGCGGGGTATAAATCCAATCCCCTCCTCCTCCTCCTCTTCTTCTTAAGAACATGAGAACATAAGAGAAGCCAGTGTTGGATCTGGGAGAACCAGGTTTGATCCCCCACTTCTCCACATGCAGCTGCTGGTGTGACCTTGGGTCAGTCACAAGTTCTCTCAGAGCTGTTTCTCTCAAGGGCAGTCCTCGAAAGAGCTCTCTCAGCCCCACCTACTTCACAGGGTGTCTGTTGTGGGGAGGGGAAGGGAAAGGAGATTGTCAGCCGCTCTGAGACTCATTCAGGTAGCGAAGGGCAGGGTATCAATCCAATCTCTTCCTCTTCTTCTAGATTCTGTTCGGGGTGGCTTCGGCCCCAGCCTTCCTTGAGAGAAGAGGCTGGCTGGCCTTCATCTTTTCTTCGGCGTAAAACCCTCTTCTCATGGTGGCTGCTAGGTATTTGAACAGGTTCTTGCGGGAAGGGAAAAAAAAAAAGAACAGGCAAGCTCTTATCCCTTGAATCACCTTGGCTGTATGAATCAAAATGGGGGGGGGGGTTAAATTAACCTACCTCACAGGATTGTTGAGAGTCTAGAATGGTGTAACAGAAATCCAGGTATTTCCCTAATAGACCTTTCCTCAGACAAGCCTGTCAACTGCAGTGTTCCCCCTAAGCTGAGTCAGTGTGAGCTAGCTCACCGTTTTTCAGCCTCCGGCTCACACGTTTTTTGTCTTCGCTCAGGAAGGATGGCTCCAGAGCAAACTAACCGACACAGCGGCCAAGTCGCTCGCTCACAACTTTAATGCCAGGAGCTCACAAAGTAGGATTTTTGCTCAACAAGACTCCACAGCTTAGAGGGAGCGTTGGTCAACTGTTTATCTGCATGTATTAGAACTGTGGACGGCTGTTAAAGAAGGTATACATCCAGGGGTCATTTCGTAGAAAAAGAGGTGCAGGAGCTCATTAGCATAACTCAGTTAGCATAACTTATTTGCATATGCCACACCCCCTGACATCACCGGAAGTGTGTCAGAAGGCAACACCCACCGCTCAGGTTCCACTGGACTGTTCTGGATTGCTAGCTATTGGGGGGGGGGAACGTGCAGATCTGTCCTCGCAGAGGAGGGAGAGCTGATACCTGAATAAAACTTGATCTTAAAGGTGCCACTGGACTGTTTTGGGCTGGGGGGGGGGGCTCTGCAACTTACCTGGCTGCTTCTTGCTCTGACTGAGGGCTGCTGGGAGCAGGGGGTGGGGCTTGTTGCATGTGCCCGCCCCCTAGGCTCTTTACTGCCAGAGCTCCGCTCCTGTGCGCTCCTGCAGGAAATAACCCCTGTATACATCGTAATAAAGGCAAAGTCTAACAGAGCTTTCCTCTGCTCCCAGAGGCTCGCCAGTTTCCAGGCAGGACCTGGAGTTTGCCCAAAGTCCCAACCGATGCTCCCTCTAAGCCGTGGAGTCTTGTGAGCAAACATTCTACTTGGTGAGCTGCTGGCATTGAAGTTGTGAGCGAGCGATTGGGCTGCTGCCTAAATCAGTTTGCTCTGGAGCCACCCTTCCTGAACTGAGACATAAATCCGTGATACGGAGGCTAAAAAAACTGTGAGCTGGCTCACAGTAACTCAACTTAGGGGGAACACTGGTCCCAACTGTTGGGGTTGTCAACCTCCAGGTAGAACCTGGAGATCTCTTGGAATTATAACAGATTTTTCAAACTACGGGGATCAGTTCCCCTGCAGAAAAGGGCTTCTCCGGAGGGCGGGCTCTATGACATCGTGCCCAGATTAGGTCCTTCCACCCCCCAAAAAAAGAAAATCTCCAGGAATTCCCCACCCCAGAGTTGGCAAGACTGGTTCCTTACCTCCCAGGCCTTCTCAACCTCCGGGGTCCAGTCCTCTTTCAGAATGGGTTGGACGGCTTGGATGAACTGGGCCCCGACGTACTGGAAAAACCGAGCAAATCGGATCGAGATTATTCCAAAGACAAGAGAGCTAAGTCCCCCCTCCCCCGGCAACCATCCCTTCAGTTCCTAAGAAGAAAGGCCATAGGGTTGCCAGCCTCCGGGTGGGAGAACTGGGGATCGCCTGGATTGACGGCATCTCCCGATGACCAAGATCACTTTCCCTGGGGAGAAATGGCAACTTCCAAAGGGGGGACTCTGTGGCATTATGCCCTGTTGAGGTCCCTCCCCTCCCCAAGCCTTGCTCTCCACAGGCTCCACCCTCCCCAAATCAGCAGAAAAGGAAGAGGAAGAGGAAGAAGAAGAAAGAAGGAAAAAGGAAGAAGAAGAGAAAAAAGAGGAAGAAAGAAGAAGGAAGAAGAAGAAGAAAAGGAAGAAGGATGGATGAAGAAGAAGAAGGAAGAAGAGAAAGAAGAGGGGAAAAGAAGAGGAAGAAGGAAAAAGGAAGAAGAAGAAAGATGGATGAAGAAGAAGAGGAAGAAGGAAGAAGACGAAGAAGGAAAAAGAAGAAGGAGGAAGAAGGATGGATGGAGAAAAGGAAGAAGAAGAAGGAAGAAGAGGAAGAAGGAATTTTATTTATTTAATTATTTATTTATGCTTTCAATTTAATACCCCGCTCTAATCCCATAGTTGGGGTCTCTGAGCGGCTTACAAGTTTTTCTTGGTGCTAATCACCGTTTCTGTTCCTAACTACGGGCACAATGTATATAGGGGAGGGACATCCTACCAGCACCCCCTCTGTGGTGGCATGTCATGATGTTCTTTCTCTCGGGGCAGAAGAAGAAGGAAGAAGGATGGATGAAGAAGAAGAGGAAGAAGAAGGAAGAAGAAAAAAGGAAGAAGAAGAAGAAGTAGAGGAAGGAAGAAGGATGGATGAAGAGGAAGAAGAGGAAGAAAAAGAAGAAGAAGAGGAGGAGGAAATTGGCTTTATACCCTGCCCTTCACTACCTGAGGGAGTCTCAGAACGGCTTACAATCTCCTTTCCCTTCCCCTCCCCATGGCAGACACCCTGTGAGGTAGGTGGGGCTGAGAGAGCCCTGAGAGAACTGCCCTTGAGAGAACAGCTCCGAGAGAACTTGTGACTGACCCAAGGCCACACAGCAGCTGCACGTGGAGGAGTAGGGAATCAAACCCGGTTCTCCCAGATTAGACTCCGCACTCTTAACTACTACACCAAACTGGCTCTCAATTTCCAGGAATCTCCCAACTCGCAGTTGGCAACCCTGATTGGCCATCCATCTTGGACAGAGTCCAGTGGCCCGTAAAGCGCCTCCCTGGATGGTCCCACTGTCGACGTACGGCACCCAGCACAACAATGTCCAAGAGCACAGGTGACTCACGATGCCAGCTCTGGAGATGCCCCCCCCCCGGTGCCCGTCTCACCTCGTAGTACTTGGGGGGCGCCTGGTACCGGCAGTGGCTCCTGCCCAGCTCAAAGGCCAGATGTTCCAGCTTGTCCATCTGGTCCAGCCGCCCCACACTCTTCTCGATGAAGGACATCACCCTGGCAACGGGGAGACGGGACGGAAGAGAAGAGAGACAACAGGAGGCCGCTGGGACCAGATCCACCAAGATGGCCCAGTGAGTCAACTTCAGATTTGGGGGGGGGAGAAACCAAGAGACTATTAGCAAGGACCTCTTAATCAGTCTGTGGGGGTGGGAGGTTTGCATATTCAGAGAGCCCCAGGGGGGGGCAGAGAGATTTTGGAGCAAGGCCACCCACCCAACCCTTGAATGCACCCTCTAGTCCAGGGGTGTCAAACATGTGGCCCAGGGGCCAGATGAGGCCCCCGGTGGGTTTTTACCAGGCCCGCAGTGGAACTGGCCATTTCCTGCTTCCAGTACTGTTGCTGCTGCACCACAGCTTGCTTCGCCAGACTCTCTCAATCGCTCGGCCATTTCATGTTTCCCCCTGGGTCCTAGACTCAGAACTCTGAGCATGAGATTTCTGTGGTGAATGCAGATAAATCAAAAGTGGGTTTTGCAGCTTACAGGTACACACTTGAACAGCATACTCAAGATGGCAAGAGCACAGACGTTTCGATGCAGTAATTCAGAGCAAGAGGTGTCCGTTATCAGATACTGCTAAATAAACAAAATATCGTAAGAGTGCTGATGTTTTAAGCATGTTTTTATTTTAAGTTAGGAAAAAAAACCCTTTGTGTTTGTGTCCTTTATAAAGTTTATATCTCTACTGCCTGGCTTTGCATTTTATGACACACATGGCCCGGCCCGACAAGGTCTCATTTATGTCAGATCCGGCCCTTGTAACAAATGAGTCCGACCCCCCTGCTCTAGTAGTCCCAAGAGGCATTATCAAGATCTAATAGAGTTGTCAACCCTAGTTTGGGGAATTCTTGGCAATTTTGTGGGCGGAGCCTTGGGAGAGCACGGTTTGGGAGGGGAAGGGCCTCAGCCTTAGTGGCTTCCAACCTCCAGGTAGAGAGAAACAATCAAACTACACACAACCGTGGTATGAGTAATACATCTAGCGTAAAAAGTCTTGTAAATATTTCATAAGTAGCGTTAACATCCTTTTTTAATGATGACATAGAAAAGGTAAAGGGCCTGCTCCGAAGCGTCTTCACTCGATCTTAGCCAAAAAGGCCAAGAAGCGATCGCCAAACGTCTTGAAAGACTTCCCAAGGTTTTAAATGTGTTAGTCCTGTTCCATAATCATTCCGTGTCCCTATTTCACTTGCGCCCTGCATTCCTTGCGGCTCCACCAACAGAACAGACATGACCAATGCTCCCTCTAAGCTGTGGAGTGTTGTGAGCAAAAATTCTACTTGGTGAGCTGCTGGCATTAAAGTTGTGAGCGAGCAATTTGGCTACTGCATAAATCAGTGTGCTCTGGAGCCATCCGTCCTGAGCTAAGGCAGAAATCTGTGAGCTGGAGGTTAAAGAATTGTGAGCTAGCTCACACTAACTCAGCTTAGAGGGAACACTGGCCGTGACTGCCATTTCATTGCTTTCTCAAGGCTGATCCTGCATCACTGAAACATTATCCCATTACTTTGATTAAAAACAGAACTCTATCATACTTACTCTCGATTCTGTAGCCAAATTCTCAATTCCTTTGTTATCCCTAAGTTCAGTAAAGTTACCCAGAGCAATCTTCCTCTTAGCTCAGTAAGTATGACCTACCAAAATAGTCCATGAAGATCCGTATAGACTGGACTTTCCCCGGTGCCCGAGAACTCCAGGGTGAGTCCCTGAAGATCCGTAAGGACTGGACTGCTCGGAGTTCTGGGTCTAGGGCCCAGGTTACGGATCTTCAGGGACTCACCCTGGAGTGATACGGTCATGCAATTCATCAAGATGAGAAATCATAAGAGGATCATGCAATTCATCAAAGGTAAGAATCATAAGTAGGTATGAAGGTCCCGGGATACACTGGTTTAGGAACACTAGAGATGGGATCATTTAAAATTGTGACTGATTTTAGACATTTTAAAAGACAGTATAACAGAAATGTGCCACATCCAGGGGTCATTTCCTGCAGGAGCACACAGGAGCGGATCTCCGGCAGTAAAGAGCCCAGGGGGCGGGCACATGCAACAAGCCCCACACCCTGCTCCCAGCAGCCCTCAGTCAGAGCAAGAAGCAGCCAGGTAAGTTGCAGAGCCCTCCCACCCAGCCCCCCGGCCCAAGGCAGTCCAGTGGCACCCCACCAATAGCTAGCAATCTAAAACAGTCCAGTGGCGCCTGAGCGGTGGGTGTTGCCTTCTGACACACTTCCGGTGATGTCAGGGTGTGTGGCATATGCAAATAAGTTATGCTAATGAGCTCCCGCACCTCTTTTTCTACGAAATGACCCCTGGAATTAACGCTCAGCATTCTTCCTCCTCCAAGGAAGAACGTGGGAAGAACGTTGCGTGTTAATTCACAGATGAGAATTGTTGATGTGTAAATTGATGTGACTTACGCAGCACACTGAGAAAAGGCTGTCATGTGAAATGGGAGTAGATGCAAATTCCGTTGTGTGCGTGCGTACATCTTCATGACTTGTTGAAGAAACAGTAAAGGTAAAGGTAAAGGTTCCCTTGCTCGAAAGCCAGTCGAATCCGACTCTAGGGTTGCGGTGCTCATCTCCGTTTCAAAGCCGAAGAGCCAGCGCTGTCCAAAGACGTTTCCGTGGTCATGTGGCCGGCATGACTAAACACCAAGGCGCACGGAACGCTGTTCCCTTCCCACCGAAGTGGTACCTATTGATCTACTTGCAATGTCTTGCTTTCGAACTGCTAGGTTGGCAGGAGCTGGAACTAGAGACGGGAGCTCACCCCGTCTTGCGGCACCCGGGTCTTGAACTGCTAAACTACTGACCTTCTACAGCCTGCAGTTCAGTGTCTTAACCACTTGAGCCATCGCAGAAACAGTACTCGCTGCAAAACAGTAGTCTAAATATATTTTCATAAAACCCCCAGGGGATTACAACTAAGTGCCAGTCAACAGAGACCACTTCTGCCAGAGAAAATGGCTGTTTTGGAGGGTGGACTTTGTTTCTTTTGAACTCTAGCCTGCCCTCTCCTGCACAGCAAGGCTCAGGGTGGGTTACAACACTAAGTAGAATAACACAACACAATAATTAAATATGATATCAGCAATCATTGAAAATCCCTTACAACAGGGGTGTCGAACTCATTTGTTATGAGTTTGGACTCGCCGTCCACCCAGTGGTTCGAAAGCTCCAGCGAGTAGATAAAATGGTTACCACTCCTTAGAGTGGGTGGGCACACTAAACCCTCATGGGGGAGGTGTTAGCCGGCGAACGGAAGATCCAGCTCGTAAGCTCGTAAGCCTGGAAAAAAAGACCTCTTCGGCATTAAGAAGCCTGTGATGGGCCAATCCGGCCAGGCGGTGGCAGTGTGGCACTATGACTCAAAGCAGTCCTGGAAGAACTGACGTCATCTAGCCACGCCGAAAAAGTGAATGCCGTCCGGAACACACCTGAAGCTTACAGCTGAACAAAATCCCCGTTCGTCGGCTGCAAAAGTGTGCGATTTAAAGAATTATATGTTGTCCTCCCTTACCCTATGATTCATTGTTAGTCCCGTGTGAAAACTTGTGTAACTGTAAATCGCTCAGAGCCAGCAGCTCTGCAGGATGAGCAATCAATAAATCGAAAGGTATTATTATTATTATTATTATGTGGGCCGGATCTGACATAAATGAGACCTTGTTGGGCCGGGCCACGCGTGTCATAAAATGTAATGCCAGGTAGCGGAGATATAAACTTTATAAAGGACACAAATGCAAAGGTTGGTGTGTTTTTTTACTTAGAATAACAATATGCTTAAAACATTCGCTCTGTAGGCTGCAAACCTACTTTCGATTTATCGACATTCACCACAGAAATCTCCTGCTCGGAGTTGTGAATCTAGGGCCCAGGTTAAAACATGAAATGGCGGAATGATTAAGAGAGTCTGGCGAAGCAAGTGATGATGCAGCAGCAGCAGCAGAACTGGAAGCAGGAGATGGTCAGTTCCAGTGCGGGCCAGTTAGAAGCCCTCTAGGGACCTGATCCAGCCCCCGAGCTGCATTTCGGACACCTCTGCCTTACAACATTTCCCCTGGGAGAAGATGCCAAAACAGAGTTCTGGAACCTCTTCGATAAAATTCTTTTAAAAACATTTAAAAGTTCACGAGTTTTCAGTATACAGATCAAAAACTTCGTCTCCCTCCTGACAGTTCCGGGCAGTGTTCCCTCTAAGCTGCGTCAGAGTGAGCCAGCTCACAGTTTGTTAGCCTCCGGCTCAGACGTTTTCATGTCAGCTCAGGGAGGATTGTCTCCCGAGCAAACTCATTTAGGCAGCCGCCAAATGGCTCACTCACAACTTGAACGCCAGCGGCTCACAAAGCAGAATTTTTGCTCGCAAGACTTCGCGGCTTAGAGGGAGCACTTCCGGGCAGTGTTCCCTCTAAGCCGAGTGAGTGTGAGCTAGCTCACTGTTTTTTAGCCTCCGGCTCACACATTTTCACCTTGGCTCAGGAAGGAGGGCTCCGGAGCAAACGAACGTATGCAGTAGCCAAATCGCTCGCTCACAATTTTAATGCCAGGAGCTCAGAAAGTAGAATTTTTGCTCACAGAACTCCACAGCTTAGAGGGAACATGGCTTCCGGGCACCTCTTTCCCCCAGAAAAGGCACCCTGTCAACTAGCAGTCATTGGCGCCCATTAACACCCACTGTGCTCCTTCCCCTCCACAACCCCCCTCCCCAGCCCCTCCCCCAAATCTTCAGAGGTTTCCCAACCAGGAGCTTCAAGCCCTTCGGATGTGGCTAGGGTGCCCAACCTCCAGGCGGCACCTGGAGATCTCCAGTTGACCAAGATCAGTTCCCCTGGAGAAAAATGGCTGCTTTGGAGGGGGGGACTCTATGGCCTTGTACCCACACTGAGGTCCCCCCACTGAGGCCCCCCCCTCCACAACCCCCCCTCCACAAGCTCCCCCCCCCCAAAAAAAAAATCTCCAGGGATTTCCCTGCTCTCAAGGAGGATATAATG